AAGAAAAAGCACCAAAAGGGGGGAAAAAAAAAAAAAGGAAAAAAAAAAAAAAAAAAAGAGGCAAAGGCAAGCAGATGGATCTCTGAGTTCCAGGCCAGCCTGGTCTACAGAGTGAATTCCAGGACAGCCAAGGCTGTTACACAGTGAAACCCTGTCCTTGAACCTTTCTCCCTCCTACAAAAACAAAAACAAAAAAACAGTGTTCTGGTTTCTTGAAAAGTTAAATGCCAAATTACTATAGTTATATCTGAAAAGAAATAAAAAACAGGCTTGCATTTTTTATTCTTCTCTTACATATTACATCCTGACCACAGTCTCCCCTCCCTCCTCACCGCCCAGTCTCTCCCCGACCTCCCTTCTCCCTCATCCTTAAAAAATCCTTTATTTTTAGTTTTGTGTATGCATATACTTATGTGTGGGTATGTTCATGTGAGTGCAGGCATCTGTGGAAACCAGAAGAAGGTGTCAGAGTCCCTGTAGCTAGAGTTACAGGTAGTTGTGAGATACCTGATGTGGGCGTTAGGAACCAAACTCCAGTCTCCTGGAAGAGCAGTTTGTGCTCTTAACTGCCAAGCCATCTCCCCAGCATCTGAAGACTTGTACACAAGTGTTCATGGTAGCACCATTAACAGTCATCAAAACGCGGAAATAACTCAAATACCCACCATCTGATGACTATCCAAACAGAATGTGGCACGACCATGCAACGGGACGCTATGTGGTGGGTGGCCCAAAACCATCTGTAATGAGATCTGGTGCCCTCTTCTGGTGTTCTGTTTTATGGACAGCCATAAAAATAGATGAAATGCTGGCAGGTGTGGCAACATCTATGAAACATGAACTCACTCCTCTAACTGCATATCTCAGAGGCTTTCCTCAAGGAAAGCCTCTGAGATATGATTCCACTTAGAGGAAATCTCCAGAACAGGAAATGTGTAGACTGAAGAGCCGGGATGGCAGAGAGGCAATAGGGAATGGTCGTTCACTGGACACACAGTTCCCTTTTGAAATTAGGTGAAAATGGAGCTAGAAAGTAGAGGTGGTTTTTAAATACCAGTGAGTGTGCCAAAAGCCTCTTGAGGGCCAGTTTTAGGTGTTTTAATGCGTGATTTTATGAGATATCCTAAAACTTCAATTTAAAAAGACACAGAATACATCTATTATATGTTATTATATATTACAAATATAAATATGAGTTCTTTATAAATTTATATAAAGAACACACACACACACACACACACACACACACACACACACACGTTTCTTTAGGCCACAGATGCACTCTTTATAAATGTCCAGGAACCATCCAAGCCAGGAACAGCAGTAAAGGAGTAAACACTGATTGTCAAGGCAAAGTTTGGTTTGTACCCATTTTTTATATAAGTATGTTCACATTTTTAGCTTTTGTCTTTTCTTTATTTTTAGGTTAGCATAAAAAGTAGTGGATGTCATGTGGTATTGTCGTACATGTTCATGTTTTAAGTTATTTAAATTACTTTAATGGAAAATTAAGACAGTATATGCATGGCATAGAGGGATGTATTTGAGGGCGATTTCATAAGAAATTTACTTTCCACCTTTTATCAAAATTTTAGCAAAAGAATATATCATATGTTTAATCAGAAAAAAATTAAGCAAGCAGAGAACATGGGACCCGAGAAACAGCTCTGGAGTTAAGAGTGCTTACTGTACAATGAGGGCCTGAGTTCAGGAGCAAAAGCACCCACATGTCAAGCTGGGCTTGGTGGCATGTACACTTGTAATCCCAGAACTGCGGGGGACTTGATGGCTACCTAGCCTAGCTGCAGGTTCAGTGAGAGACCTCATCTCAAGGGAGATTGATACAGCCAGACACCCCATGTTATCCTCTGGCCTCAGTGTGTTTGTAAGGTGAGGGAGCTATAAGGAAACAGAGAGCAAACATCAAGGTCTATGACTACTTAGCAAGAATGAGGGAGCTCACCCCACCTCTTGCCCTAGTCCAAGTGACTTAACAAAGAAGGAAGTTCACTTTACTCATAGTTACTGAAATTCAAGGACCTGTCACAGTGTTTGGTTCCTGGTGGGTGGCTTCTGAATGGTGGAGTTATGGGGAAGCCAGAGGGTGGTTCTCAACAGCTTTGGGGGGTTTCTGGGCTCCTGAACCATTAATCCATTTGTAGAGAAGCACCCCAATAATAAGACCTCCCCCTAAGACCTCTCTCTTAGATGTCTTATCTCCCAGCATGGCCATCTTAGGGACCAAGTATACAGCACACAAACTTTCTAGAGAACAGAGCACACTGGAACTGGAGTCAGACCACAGCACTCCCCAGCACACCAGCTGCCACTGTGTAACTGAAAAACACGTGAGCATAAAGGGACAAATGTAGTTTTTTTCAAGTTCATCTGAAAAGGAGATGAAGCCAGGATACCATGGCAACCTCCCCCAAAGCCAGGATGGAGGGGGAGATGCATAAGGAAAAGTGGGGAGTGAAGTGACGTTTGGGCCACAGCAACCTAGTCCGACGGCTGGACTGGAAAGATGGGCGTGTCCACAGCCCCCTCTGTGTGGTCCCTCCTGCAGGAACAGACTTCTGCCGCCTGCACTGGAGTTCACCAAGAAGACAAATGCCTTCGGGGTGACTGACAACTGTGTGCTGCTCACCCAGCTAGAGAGCCATCAACAAAGGAACGGTGAATCCTTTTCAGGACTTTGAACTCTATGGGAAGAGTTTGCTCAGTTGGACCTGCCACACGTCCAGATGGACAGCTCCATGCTGATGTATGAGCAGCGGGAGCTTCAATTACACGTAAACAGGAACTGTGGATGGTGTATGGTCCCATAGCCATCCACATCCCAAAAACCTCCCTCGCAGAAAAAAAGAGCAATCAGCTGCACCCAGAATGGCCTCTCAAACCCCAAAGGGCTTGCATGTCTGTGTATTGCTCGTTCTTTTGTAACTGCATCATTGGGCTCCAATCCCAATGCTGAGTCTTGGAAACACAATACTTGGTGAGCTCCCAGGAGATCTGGCTACACAATGACATGCTCCCAGCGTGAAGGGACAGATTCAGGTTTTGTAGGGCCTGAAGCTTATAGCATTTAGAAGGGCAATCTTCAGCAAAGTACAAAGCACACAGAATTGCAGATACAAAGTTAAGTGAGCCTTTAGGACAGGAAATCACAGCCGATCGATCACCTGCTTTTGGAAGTTGGTTGGCAGCTCATGTTCATGAGGTTTCTTTGTATTAACTGCCCCACCTCTATAATACTGTCCTATACCTCAAGCTGTATGTTCTTTGAGTGCTCCTTCATGCGATGATTTTATATCGTTTTCTGAAAAAAATTATTGGCACTTGGGATGCTTAAATCATGAGTTATTTTTCGAGCAAATCTCCACATTATTGTTCTCCTGGGGTTGGCCCAATAATCACAGTTTCTGAGAAATCCTTGTAAAAATCCTGTGTGTGTGTGTGTGTGTGTGTGTGTGTGTGTGTGTGTGTGCGTGCGCGCGCGCGCGCGTGTGTGGGGGGAGTTGCTCACCTAAGTTTGCACACGTGGAAGGCAGAGGTCAACTTCTTCAGAAGCCTTCCTTAATTGCACCCTCCCCCTTTTATGACAGAGGCTCTCACTGAACCAGGAGCTCACCATTTTGGCTTCACTGGCTGCCCAGGGGTCCCGTCTTTATCCATTCTCCCAGGTATGTGGCTATGCTGCACACACCAATGCCAGCATTTTGCATGGGTGCAGAGGGCCACACTCAGGCACTTTGGTTCGCACAAGCCCTTTCTTTACCCACTAGCTAGATCTTCAGCCCCAATTCTGACAAATTCTACTTCACAAAACTTCCATCAATAAAAGAAAAAAAAAATGACTGGAGATAACGCTCAGTAGCAAAGAGCTTTCCTAGCATGTTAATGGCCCTGGGTTTAATTCCCAGTTCTACATTTAAAAAATGTAGGTGAAGAAAAAAAAAGTGATTATATATTTACACTTGTATCGTTGCATCGCCAAGTATAATTTCAGCAACAAAGAACTTGAGCTTTAGTCAAATGTTGATAAGAGGCTGGAGAAATGGCTCAGCAATTAAGAGCACTTACTGTTCTTGTAGAAGACGCAGGTTTGGTTCCCAGCATGACATGGAAGTTCACAACCTCAATAACCCTAGTTTCAGTGGATCTGATGCCCTCTTCTGGCCTACACAGGCCCTGCATGTACAAGGTGCACATACATTCCCTCAGGCACACATACGTAAAAATAAATAATTTTTAAAATATTGATGGAAATCGAATCTTCAGCTCGGGGAACCCTGCACCTGGCATCAGGAACAGTTTTCTCCAGTGGGTTTCTGGCTCCCTATTTCCCAAACCTTACTTTTCCTTTCCGATCCACATACTTTTGGTGTCAGGTTCTGAGGGACACGTGGATGTCACAGTAGCATAGCGGTACCTCTGTCCTCACATCGTCATGCTGTGACAAAGGGTGAATGAACACAGCAGCTGCAGAATGACAGGAATAGAAGTCCCTGCTCTCGCAGGCAACTGTGACTCACATAGGGCTATGCTGTTAATCTAAACCAGCCACATCCTAGCTCAGTTCGTTGCATCCCCAAAGAAGCTGTCTTTCCACATAAAGCCCCAGGAGACATGACTGAGGATTCTAGGGAAGAAAAGACAGAGGCCTCACTAATCAAAGCTAAGAAATGTGGACAAAAATACACACTTCTATTGCTTCACGTTGCCTGGCACCCCCACACCCCTAAGGAGCCCTGACACTAAGCCTCTCCAAACCCACAAATGGTTCTGAGCAGCCGTAACCAAAGACCTTCTTACTTGCAAGAAGGATGTATAGCTCTCCACTGATACCGGGAGGTGGCGATGAGTCTGAGAAGCAACTGGAAGCCCCAGAAAACCGGACACCCCACAAATGGGAGTACATGAATAAAGAGCTTGCCCAATCCAGAAGGAAGCAAGGCTGAGGTTAAAATGTAGGCAGACAGGGCCTGATGAGAAGGCTCCTGTGCAGATGGGCGGAGTCCAATGATGGGCATGTGACTAATAGTTGAGGGCGGGGCCTAAAACTAGGGTAGCCTAAATGACAGATGAGTGGACTCTAAAGATCAAGGCCATGGACATACAAACTGTGAGTACAGCCCTTTCAGAGGAGACCTGCCTGGTGGATAATGAGCAGTGCATAAATGTGAGTAAGGGTTGGAAATAAGATGAATGGCACCTAGAGACAAGAGGGCAGGACAGCCCAAGCCAAGCCCCCCTTCCCTCCCAAGTCCCAGAAGCAGGCATAGAAATGGCAGAGAGGCCCACTGAACATCTCCACATTCTTCCTTCCTCCTGCCCCCAATCAGTTAGAGAAGACAGCTATAAAGATTCAGTCATGGTGGCGTGGCATCATGGTCAGGCGGACACTCCTGCATGCAGCACTTGGAGCATGGGCCATCCAGTGCTGGTGGCGGTCAATGCAAAACAAGATGCAGGAGCAACGACGGAGCTTGGCCCTCAAACTCTACACCTGCCAGGAGTGGGCAGTGGTGAAGGTGCAGGCACATGTCCGCATGTGGCGGACCCGCAGACGATTCCTCCAGGCACGCCAAGCAGCCTGCATAATCCAGTCTCACTGGCGCTGGCATGCCAGCCAGAGCCGAGGCATGATCCGGGGCCGCTACGAGGTTAGAGCCAGCCAGCTGGAGCTTGACATCGAAATTCTTATGACCTAGGATGCTGGCAAAGCCATAGGGGGCTGGATCTCCCTCCCAATAAAGACACTTACTGATTACTGACCATAGCCTCCTCGCCCTGTAGGTATCGGACCCATAGAGAGAACTTAGCCCCTAACTTCCTTACCTTTCATTGGGAAATATTTCCTGGTGTGGTATAGGGCCCTTGTCCTGAGACCCATCCTAGGCCCCTGCTCCTTCTGTCATACTTAGCCAGTCCTGAACATAAGGGACTGCAGGGCTCAGGCCAGGTGTCCACACCTCCGTCAGTTGAATTGGGGTCCCTCCACCGTGGGAACAGGCCATGCATTTTGCTCTTCTGCAGCCCCTGCCTAAGCATCTCCATTCAGCTTAAAAGAGTCTGACTGCAGCAGGGCCAACTGGGAAAACAGGGATTCCATATCCTGAACCACAGGGCCCTGCGGGCCAGCACGGGACTTTGGCAGGGAGGCAGGCGGATAGCCCACAGCAGGAGGGCAGCAGCAGGACACTCGGGGCCCATGGGTTTGTGGGGGCGGCAGTGCTCCAGAGGCAGCTCCTGAAGAAGGCCAGAGGTGAGTGGAGGCCCAGCAGCTGTGACTGCTGCCTCTGTCCCCTGAGGCTGAGCACCAAGGCTTCCCTCCCTCTGCTGGCCACTCCCTGAGAGAAGCAGGCATGGCTTGGGAGTGGAGGGGGCAGCTGGGGGGGGCACAGGAGCAGGGGAGGCCTGGAGGCCATGGGGTTGGGCTCAGAGACCTCAAATCCCACTGTCCTCAAAAGCAGCTGTGCTGATCCCTCCTCGGACTGCCTCCCTCTGCTGGGCCAGCTTCGGTGGCTGCTGCCGGAACTCAGCCTTCTGGGTCTCTCACTGTCTTAGCTCATCTCTCATCATCTCTGCCTTGCTTCTAAGTTTGAAGTGCCTCTCACCTGGAGCTCTCAGGAGTCTGAAAACCTGAGGGACCCCAGATTTTCCTCTCCCTGGAATCTGGGGGTGGTTGGCCTAGCATGGAGGGTAGGAGTGGCAGCTAGTAGGTGTGCAAGAGTCAGGGGTCTTCATGGCATTGTTGCTGGAGATTTTCCCCATCCCCAACTCCCCTTGTGTGCATGCGTACGTGTGCAGGCATGTGCATGTGTGTGTGCGCGCGCGCATGCATGCGTGTATCCACGCATGTGTGGGAACGCTTGTGTGCCTGTGTGTGGTATGTGTGCATGCAGATTGTGTGTGTGTGTGTGTGTGTGTGTGTGTGTGTGTGTGTTTTATGTATGTGCAGTAAAGTAGCTTCCAGAGTAGCAGGGGCAGATGTGAGGGCTCAAGTTCAGTTTGCTCTCAGTAGTAACAGTAGTATCTCCTCTGTAGTATCTCATCTGCAGCTATCAGTAGGAGCTGCAGATGACAGTAATACATGTGGGCATCTGACTTTCTGAATGGATGTCGTTCTTCCAAGGGGACCCCCCCTACAAACTCTACATACAGCTCTCTTCCCGCTTTTCACAGCCGTGAGTGAGGTGAGATGGGTTAGACAGAAAGCTGAGCATGAGGGAAGTTCTCCCAGACGGGCCATGTTGTTGCCATCTCAACAGTGAGAAGTGTTTAAAGCCTGGGCTGGCAAGGGTTGAAGACTCTGGTCTTTCATCTGATAGAGCATTAGCCTCTCCTAAGCCATTGGAAAATATCATCCAGCCGGAGATTCTCTTTCTGATTATGTTGGTGTGGGGTCAGCATCAAGAGTCCAATGTGTGCCATGCAGTGGTGGCGCACGCCTTTAATCCCAGCACTTGGGAGGCAGAGGCAGGTGGAATTCTGTGAGTTCAAGGTCAGCTTGGTCTACAGAGTCAGTTCCAGGACAGGATCCAAAGCTATCCTGCCACAAAATAAATAAATAAAAGTAAAAAGTCAGGCTGGATAGATGGCTCAGAGGTTAAGAGCCCTGGCTGTTCTTCTAGAGGTCCTGAGTTCAATTCCCAGCAACTACATGGCGGCTCACAACCATCTATAATGAGATCTGGTGCCCTCTTCTGGCCTGCAGGCATACATGTAGGCAGACCACTGTATACGTGATAGATAAATAAATAAAACTTAAAAAAAAAAGTAAAAAGTCTAATGCAGGGTCACAATTGGAAACTCCTGAGTTAGATGCTTTTCAACGAACCTATGTAATCTCACTTTAAGACGGTCATGTAGAATTCCAACCTGAGCCAAGCACATTCAAGACCATCAAGGCTTTGTGCTCTCCAGTGACCTAAGAGTGCAAAGTGAAGTGAGGCTCAGAAAGACACAGCCCTTACTGGTCCCTGGGTGGTGGGTAGGAAGAGCATTGGAGAGCGGAAGTAGACAGGGTCTCTTGTCCCACCAGGTCTGTAGCAGGAAGATGAGACCATACAGGTTCCAACAATGGAGACTCAAAGCTAGACCCAGAAGGTTGAAGATCCAAGGTTTGGTGTCCTGCCAGTCAGTAGTCTGGGGTCCTGAGAAACCAAAGATGGTCTGAACCTATAGGGTTATGTTGGAGAGCCTCAAGGAAGAGTAAGTGAATAGGTGAGCAGTGAGTGAGAGAGACTCCCCTTTGGCAGTCAGACCTGTGGCCAGTGTCAGCCATTCAAATAAGCTCCCTTTTCTCAGCAGGGGAGAGGTTACAGGAGAAACCTTTAAAGGCAGACCCCACAGACCCCTGCTGCTCCTCACCATTGCTGAGAACCAAGCTGTATAAAGAATTCCTCTTGAGAATGTATGCACTGGAAGGGACGTGGCTGCAGCCTCAGGACTGGGGTAGGCCCCAGTGTACTCTGAGAGGACCTGGAACCTCCCCTATGACATATGCATTACCAAGAGATACATGCCCCAGATTGTTCTCCCATTAATAAAGAGATATATTACCCTCAGACTGACCCACACTGTGGATTCTTAGGAAAGTATCCAGTACGTTAAAGTCCCATCATGCAATGGCTCCCCAGATGGCATCTAGTTTCCTTGTCCCCAAAGTCTTACCCTGTGCTTCCAAGCTCCTCACCTGATAAATCACTAAACAGCTCTGACCACACAGCTCCAAGGTCACCATTCTGTCATATCTGCTTTTCTGTGTCACACATACGAATCGAAGATGAGGTGGCCACAGCCACTGCCATGTCATCCTAGGAACATTGACTGGATAGAACACAACCCCATCCATATTCCATCAGGGTAGACATGTCTGGTGTCTAGAAAGGACTCTCTGACTAGGGTTAGGTATGTAGTTTAGCTGGTAGGCGTGTGCTAGAATGCACAAAGCCTGGGTTTGGTCCCTAGCACCACAGAAGCTGGGCATGGTAACATGTGCCTATAATCCCAGTATTCAGGGGGTGAAGGAAGGAGGATTAAAAGTTCGACAGGCACAGCAACAAAGCAAGTTCTGGGTTATATGTGACCTTAAGCAAATTAGCCTTGCCTCTAAAAACTGAGTTTGATAGAAAGTCTAGAAGCAAATGTCTGTTGTATAGAGGAACTGGAGTGTATTGGAGGGGAAAAAGACTTCTGGCCACTGCCAAAGCTGTGATATGTGAATTCATGTGACAATAAAATACTTTGCATAGAATTTGACATTAAAGAGAGTGACTGAGAGTTAAATGGATACTACTAGTAAATATGTTGGGGAAATAGAGACTTCTGATCAAAAGGAAGTTCTCATAGTTGGGGTACAGAGGATGACCGGAGGTAGAAAGTAAGGGAAAAACAGAGGAAGAATGGTGTAGTCACATAGAAACAAGATCCCATCCACAAGACAAAGTATTAGGAAACTGAGTTCCTAGTACAGCCCCTGCCTGTGCCTTCCTCTATTTCTTCCCCATAGGTCACCCCAGTGGGAGATCTGGGGATTGTGTGGCTCAGATGTTGCAAGGTGCCCAGGTGCTGCATCTGGGAGCTGTCCCCATGGATCCAGAACCCTCCTCCATTATAGAACTGCGTAAGAACCAAGGTTCCTAGACTCCCAATACATGGGAGAAAAGAAATGTCAAAAGGATGCATGGCGCCAGGCGTTGGTGGCACACGCCTTTAATCCCAGCACTCAGGAGGCAGAGGCAGGCGGATCTCTCTGAGTTCGAGACCACCCTGGTCTACAAGAGCTAGTTCCAGGACAACCTCCAAAGCCACAAAGAAACTCTGTCTCAAAAAACAAAAACAACAACAAAAAAAGGATGCGTGGTTTAAGAAAGTCTGCGATGTGACCAAGAAGCTAAAGAGAATATGAAAAATCTCACCACCTGAGACCGTGAGCAATATAGAAAATGGGGTTAAATGGGAGGACCCAGGAGTTTCACCTGTTGGCAGTGGGCAGAGGCTAACATGCAGGGGCAACTGCCAAGAACCAGCCCAGGAAGGGGAAATAAGGATGCGATGGTTGGTATTGTCTACTTGACTGGATTTAGAACCACCTAGGAGACACGTCTCAATGTGTCTGTGCCAGTATCCCAAGGGAAGTTTGACTGAGGGGAGATGCTCCCTCCTGAACATAGGCGGGGCCATCCCAGGAGCTGAGGGCTGGTGATATATTGTTTATGATTTAATAAAGCCACTGGAGATCAAAATGCAAAGCTAGCCAGGCAATGGTGATATACACCCTTAATCCCACCAGCCACACTAGCTAGCTATTATAGAAGCTGGGCAGTGCTGGCACACACCTTTAATCCCAGGACTCAGGAGACAAAGGCAGATGGATCTCTGTGAGTTCAAGGTCACCCAGGGTTACATTAGAGTGAATCAGTCTAAAAGAGAAACAGAGCTCACACAAAGGAGATCTCAGCACATGGGATCCTACGCCTTTAATCCCAGCTCTAGAGAGGTATATAAGATAGGAGCCGGGCATTCAGTATTCAGTCTCAGAGATTTATTCTCCAGCCACACTGAGGAGAGAACAGCCCTTTCAGTCTGAGGTAGGGTAAGAGCTAGTGGTTAGATGCTTTGCTCTTCTGATCTTCAGCTTGAACCCTAATATCTGTCTCTGGGTTTTTATTAATCGTGTTACACTGAGTTTGTGGACTGAATAAAA